CATGATTTTATTTCAAGAATTTTATATAGATGGAATCATATAGCATGACAATTTTTTGAAAGCAACTTATTACTTTAATTTTATTTCAATAATTTGCATTCAAATAGCTGAATGCACTCAACTTTTAATAGTAAATATGTTTTAGTAAGGAAAAAATCTTCACATGATTCTACTATCATGTTAAGAACTAGAGGAGAGGCCAAGACACTAGCAATTTTTTAATGACAAATTAATGTATTTTTGCAAATATATGAAATGTCGAGACTAGCCTGATCAATATGGTGAAACCTTGTCTCTGTTACAATACAAAAATTAGCTGGGTGTGGTGGAGGGCACCTGTAGTCCCAGCTACTCAGGAGACTGAGGCAGGAAAATTGCTTGAACGTGGGAGGCACAGTGAACCAAGATCATGCCACTGCACTCCATCCTGGGTGACAGAGTGACTCCATCTCAAATATAGATATATGTGTGTATATATATATATATATATATATATACACATACACATAGACATATTTATACACATATATACACATTTTCACCAGAAGTATATGTATACATATGTATAATGTATGTGTATATACATATATGTATATATGTATATTTGTGTATATTTATATACATATACATACATAATAGACATATGTATATAAGTATATTTATATGCATATGTATGTATGTAATTACATACATATATGTATATTATATGTATATTTATGTATAATATACGTATATTTATATACATGTTTATATACATATACATATAAAATATACTTGTGTGTGTATATATATATGTATATGCAATGTTAAAAACATGGTATTTATTTGTTACCGAATTTCTTCCTTTCCTTGGGTAACCTTTAGCATTTGACTTCTATGTCATTCTTGTTACATAGAGAATTTTCATACTTCTATGTTGCATCAGTCCCCATTGTGAATATGTTTCACTTTCTCAAACCACAAGCAGGGCCTAGTCACCCTTGACAGTTTCCAGCTCTACTCCTCACCCAGGTCCCCAATGTGGCAGATCCAAATATTTGTCTTATACAACTGCCTTCTGATGACCACCTTCCCATGAGATAGCTGGTTACAACTGACTTGTCTGGCCCTGCTAACCCTCACACCCCATATGAACTGTGCAGATGCAGATATGCCACAATAACCACCTCTCAGTCACAGGTGACCTCCTAAAACTTGTGCCTGCTTGCTGTAAACCCATCAATAAAGCTCCGTCCCTCTTTCATCGACCAACATCCATGCGACCTTCAGGTATGCCATTCACCCCCAGAACCTGTAATTAAAATATTTATTTTCATCTTGTGTCTCTTCTAATCACCGAAGGGGTATTCTTTATTTAAAAAAAAAAAAAAAAAAAAA